ATATATATATGCGTGTGTGTGTGTGTGTGTGTGCACACACACACACACGTAGTTAATATGTTAAAAACAAAAATTGGCATACCGTATTTCTTAAAAATGTGATTTTTGAGACAAATCTGCAATATCTTATTGATTTAAACTCATTTTCACAAAATCACAGTTTTAAATAGCTAATATTTTGATGAAAACGTATCTTAGATGAACATCGTCGATTGTTTTAGCCAATGAATAATCAATTGCCAAATTAATATAGCACTACCTCTAATTCTTGTGCTTAATTCTGCAGGCCCAAAACCGAATGTCTTCCCCTGCTGGGATATTTTCAGGTACAGAAATTGCTCCAGAGGCCCTGAGGCAAACGTTAACATTCAAAGACCCTCCAGTAGCCCCCATACCTGCCAAGATAGGTAGGTTTTGCCAACATCTTTGTGACATTTTGTACATTATCTATTATCTTGCCTTATGTCATGTGAAGCAAGCAAGCCCTTCCCTTTGTGTGTGTGTGTGTGTGTGTGTGTGTGTGTGTGTGTGTGTGTGTGTGTTTTGAAAGGTAATTCTGAAGTAAAGAAAATCAAGTCAAAAAAAGAAAAGATGAAGGAAAGGAGGGAACGATGGTTAAACAGTAAGTTCATTTCCCATTCACCGGATCAGACGTTCCAAGAAAATGTTTGTGTCTATGTTCTTTAATTCAGAGAATCAAGTAGGGATTGATTGGTGGCCAGTAATTTTCTTTTTTTTTTCTTTTTTTTTTTTTACAGTGCATTGTGTTCTGCGTCCTGATTGGCTAAGGGACTGTAGACCAATGTCAACATTCACTGTCCCTCGTCTCAGTACACCTTGCAAAATTTTTGTTTGGAAAAAAAACAGGTTTTGATCTTTGGTTTCATTCTATACTATAGCATTGTATTGTATATTAATTATAAAAAAAAATCGAATAAAATTCGACTGTAACTGCCGTGATTCATGCTAATATCAAAATAATGTACCGGTACTTTGCCACATGATGGTTTAAAAAAAATAAAATAAATAAAACCCCATAGCATTTATTTAGGTTATTGTGCCTCCTGCTGTTATATATGAGGGTTGCACTGAATGACAGTAAGTGGTTCATGTTGATGAGGTGTTCCATCAGTTTGAGGAAAGAGACGAAAGCGTGAGGTCCTTACGATATGAGCTTCGATTTCTTCTAATTACTCCTAAATTCCCTTTTAGAAGGCGAAATGCTATGTGGCCATGACTAATGAGTGTTTTATGTTGTTGAGATGCACGTAGCTCTGTTGTACATTGCGTAATTGTATATTTTTGTCATAGTTTTTCACCCAAAATTTGTATTTATCAACAAAGGACATATGGACGCTAAAGGCTGTTGAACAAAACCGTTGAGTGGTTCTGTATATTTGTCAGTCGACCTTGAAAATGCTTTGGAAAAATAACCAAAGCATACTGCTTGGCGGAAACGGGCTTGACCTGCTTTCTGACTGCGTTTGGGTTTCCTCCACAGAGATAAGCGTCATCAAGCTGACAAAGGAGCGTCAAGCGGCGCAGGCCCGGCGGCAGGCCACTCCGGTCGTGGGAGACATGAGCGTGCTTGCGGAAGCCCTGCCCAAGCTGTCGGAGCTCATCGCTCCTGCTGGTACAGCCCGCACAGGCCTTCCAGCTCGCCGGAAAAGCACCGTGTAAGTTGAACTCAAATTTTTGTGCGGTCCTATATAGTTTTAGGAGACCAGGCGATACAGCAAGAACTGTATCTGCTTGTTTTTTTTACGCCTCTGCACCCACCTCCTCCTCCTTCCCAGGCCAGTCAAGAAGTGCGCAGTAACCGATTTCAGTCAGATGAGGCCCCTGCAGAAACGCAAACTCCTGTAAGATACTTTTTGTTTTATGCATTGTCATTTCCTCCAATGAAATGTTCTTATTTTTTGGGTGATGTTCTTACGACAGGGAGTCAGAAATCAATCGGTTTGGCGAGGCAGTGAAAATCCTCAGCAGCAAAAGGAATCCCCTCAATGATATCTCTGAGCATCTGAGGAAGAGACTCAAGCATTTAGAAGAAGGTTCCAGTTAACATCGGAAAAACGATGACGGAAAGACGATGACTTCACCCATTCAAAGCGTAGGTCAGCGTTCCTCCATCATAGAACTCTTGTTTACTTTTTCTTTTTTTAAGATTTGGGCCTACAACACAGACTCAACTGACAACTGCTTTTCACAACAATGTTTTTAGCCGATGACAATAAAAATCTGCTTTCAATGCGTTTAATGGCTTTCATGTACAGGAACACAAATAGCGAAAATCCACAAGTCACTGACTCCCCACCCGGTGGTTCTCACTTTCATCTGAGGCAACCGTGACAGGATTTGAGTTGATAAACCCAAACAAAGGAAATTCAAGATCACAACATGAGCGTAGTAAGGAGACTTTATTCAGGATTTGACACTTTCCATATTTTGTTGAGCGGGCACACTCGGATAAACAGTGAGTCCGATCATAAATCAAAGAAAGACGTTTCGTGATAAATTGACAGTGCAAAATGCGCATCCGTATGTAATCCTAACACTTGTGAATGATAAAACCTAGTACTAAAATAGTTGTGTAACAAAAACAATGCAAATAAGAGATAACAATTAGACGACGCAGGCATTTTAAATGTCTTTTTTTTGTGTGCTATTTGGTCTAACTTTCAAACATGAAAACTTGATTGTTGGCTTACACTGTGAAATACACAACCATGCTTGTTTTTTTTTTTTTTTTTTTGGTCCCCCCAATACCCTCTGGCCATACTTTACCCACCTCTGATCTCGATTACTGGATGACTGGACCTTTTATTTAACTTTTTTAACAACATCGGCATAGGCAAACTCGATTTCCCTCTCGGCTGGGCAGGTGTTGTTGAATTCCTCTCTCTGATAGGCACAGTTCAAGTAGCGCCAAATGCCCGACATCTCTGCGGGGATGTCAAATCCACGATATTTCTTGGCTACCACCTGGAAAGATGAAAGAAAAACCTTGGAGTAGAAAATCATTGCAGATGATCCATGTGCCATCCGGTAAATTGTTGCGAGAAGCAGTGGACCTTCAGGATGTGTAATTTAGGAAGCAGGTTGCAGTCGGCCAGGGTGAGCTCTGGTCCGTCCAGGAAACTCCTGGTGGACTCTGGGACGTCTCCCGGGGCATCGCAGTCAATCTCAGCTGCTAGGGGAGTCCGCAGGAAGTCGTCAAGATGCCGAAGAGACTTCAGCAGTGCTTTCTCTAAGGCTGAACACACCGGGGAGAATGAAAAGATTCACTTATGCCCCTTTTCCATGCCAAAAAAAAAAGAAAGAAAAAAAACAGAGCTCGAGCCAATTTCGCTGGTGGAAAAAGAAAGAACCGGTGCCAACCTAAGCACTGGCCTGGAAAGTAGCACTAGCACAAACGCGGTGGAAAAGGGCCAACAGTAACTTTGGTGAGTCACATCTGGCCCCTGGGTCTTGAGTTTGACACCTGCACCCGAAAGATTCAGCCCATGTCGTATCTTTGCATCGTCAGAGGAATCATCAGAGACGTAAACCAGAGAATGTCGTTACTGACCATCAACGTCATCACAGAAATAAGTATAAGATGGGAAGTGGGGGTTAATTGAAGACACAAATTTTCCGCAGCTGTAAAAGTGAGTATGAATGGTCGTGTATTTGAGTCCTGTGATTGGCTGTTGACTAATCCAGGGTGTATACCCTGTCTCTTGCCCAAAGTCTGCTGGCTTAGGCTCCACCACAAATGCGACTCTAGTGAGGATAAGTGGTTTGGATAGGACACAGTGAAGTACAGATTTTTAGGACCCCAGTTGGTCACAAATCCAAACGAGCCCATGTTTAGCAGGCATGTAAACCACGGTGGATTTGGGATTTAGCTTCATTAAAAAAAAAAAAAAAGGAAGTACAGTACATTTTGTATTCTGTAGCTTCACAAGACAAATAGTAGAACCTCTTTGTATCCTACCGTCATTGGTTTCTTTCCTTGGGTTCTTGATATAAGCAGAGAACTTGGCAAAGACATCAATGCCGGCTGTGTTGGCCTCCGGATGTTTCGGTGACAGTCTTGGGTAGCTGGTGATACCAAAACAACTTGTCACAGAATAAAGCCTGACAACTTTCAGGTATGAGGTCAACCAGTTCAGGTTTTCCATGAAAACACAGCATGTAGTGTACCGGTATGTACACTGCTCATAAAAGTTTCTGAATATTACCGGTGTGCTTTCGAGTGAAATTTCAGGTTGGACCTAAAATGCACAACACCATGACAGGTTAACTGAAGCTATCGGTCCATTCATGGGCCAAGCCAAACGCCAGTGATCCATCAATCGGTCGTCTTCCTCTTATCCATGGTCAGATCACGGGGGCAGCAGCCTAAGGATGGAAGCCCGGATTTCCCTCTCGCCGGCCACTTCGAGGCCCACTAGACCTTAGCAAGGGAGGCTGAGGAGTTCATCCCCCTGTACTCGGAACACACCCTGCGGTCCTGCTTCTTTAAAATGGGCGCTGCTACCTGCCAAACTAGAGGCACAGTCTCCGATGTCCACGAGATACTGCAGAACACAACCAAAAGGGTCAACATTCAGAGCCTTGAGGAATTCCGGGCGGATCTGATCCACTGCCGGGACGCACCAACCGAGGTGCTTTTTAAACACCTCAGCGTCCCCAGACTCTGCTTCCTCATAGGACGATATCAGTGGAATTTAGGTCTATGAAGGTTGGTCAGCACTGATTCACAACATCCCAAGTCAAGGTCAGCAGCGCTGGATCCTTATTATGGTGCACTGCCTCTCATTCCTTGGCATAAGACCAGAATATCTTTGAAGCTATCAGGAAGGTGTTCTTCATGGTCTCACCGAACTGTTCCCACGTGCGTCTTTTTGCCACAGCTCCGGACAAAGCCACATTCCGCTTCCCTTGCGCTGTCTCTGGAGTCCCACAGGCCAAAAAGACCCAATAGGACTCGTTCTTCAGCTTGACGGCATCCCCCAAATACCAATTTTGCTGTTTGGCTCCTTGTTAGCAAAGTTGTGCTAAAATATACTCTGAAACTGTGAAAAGTTGTGCGTTCTAAAAGTTTAGAGAAGGTCAAATTTAGTTTACCTGTAAAGGTTGTAGTGCATTTTATGTTCATTGTGAGATTTCACCCAAAAGCTCAGTATCGCGTAATTTTTTGTGAGTGGTGTATACATTACCGTTTCAAAGGTCTGGAATCCTGTGAGATTTTCAGACAAAACATTTTTTTGTTACGTTTCAAACAGCAAAGCGCCTTTTCTCAACAAGCATCTCTACTTCCACTTAAGTACACGGCGCGAGTACTTTTGCCACTTGTGTTTATTTACAGAGTAGTGTGCTTGTGTTTGTGTACCGCGGTGGGGCCAGTTTCTCCTCGAGGAACTCCTCGATTTTGTTGACATCAATCTTGACCTCTCCGTTGAAGGTCATAAATGGAGGGTTGGTGCCTGGAGCCAGGTCTTGTAAATCAGCAGGCTTTCTGACAGCACAAAAAAAAAACAACCAATATAAATAAATATTCAGAAGTTTGAATAAATACAGGGGCTCTTTGATGTACTGTTATGCCTATTTTGGTGGGAATGTGATCAAATAAAATTTGTATGTACATTGGAACATGACATTGTCTATCACGAACAAATGCTAACACGTTCGCAAAGTCAGAACTACATCCATGCATTTTTCGATCCGCTTTATCCACACAAGGGTCGTGGGGGGTTCTGGAGCCCATCCCAGCTGTCTTCGGGCAGTAGGCAGGGGACACCCTGAACCGGTTGCCAGCCGATCGCAGGGCACACAGAGACGAATAACCATTTACGCTCACACTCACACCTAGGGTACAATTTAGAGTGTTCCATTAACCTGCCATGCATGTTTTTGGAATGTGGGAGGAAACCGGAGTACCCGGAGAAAACCCACGCAGGCACGGGGAGAACATGCAAACTCCACACAGGAAGTAAAAATACACGCAAGACCATATATATATATATGGTCAATTACCTCTTGAGGTCAACGGTGGTGACATTGAAGATGACGCCTTTGAGCCAGAGGATCATAAAAAGTCGCTGAGAGAATGGGCAGTTACCGATGCTCTCCCCATCGCTGCCCGCCTAAACACACACATACACACACACACACACACACACACACACAAAAGAAGAAATCTGTTCACCGAACGTATAGATGAGCAACAAAAATAATTTCTTGTAAATGACACCTCACAAAGATGGTAAAGGTAGCCGAGGTACAAAGGTTATTAAAAATGTTATTCGAGGTAGGGAGTAAAGACTAAAGAAGCACAAAAAATACTTGGTGACTGCACATACTCCTTGAGTGTTTCTTTTTCTCGTGACTTTTTACTCACTACATTCGAAAACAGATGTCTGTACTTTCCACCATTTTTGCTTGGCTTGTCGAAATAGACTTGTTACTTTTTTCAACATCTGCAGATGACAACACACTATTAAAAAATTGTCATGTAAATGGAGAAGTACATTTAAGGGAAGACGGGACAGAAGCAACATGGAGAAACAGATACCAGAAGGCATAAATGACGACGGTTCCCAGAAGCAAATTATTCCCCTTCCGTGGTGATATTAGAATTGTTTCAAGGGGGAGTTTGTACTTAAAAAAAATACAGCACAGATTAAATTTCTTTCCTCTCAACCACAGTGCAAAAAATGCAGTGCATTGAAAACACACACAGCTAGCCATCACACAGGTCAGGTTAGGACCAAGACTAGCACAAAGTTCAGTTTACTTTCTTTTTGCATTTTCATCTACGGGCGCAGTTAGAAATGGGTGTTTGCGCCGCTGTGGGACTGAACACAGCCAACTCAAATCCTGGCCTGTTCAAGTGGCTTCCCTTATTCCCTTTAAAGCGCAGGTGAGGTGCGCGGTCTCGATGGCAGAAGCACAACGGACTCGCTGGAGTCAAAGTCATGTCTCTGTCACTACGCATCGTGTGAAGACTTGGTCGGTACTTTTGACTTTCTGTCGCAAGCGAGGAACCGACGCAGTTGGAATTGAAGCACTTCTAAAATCCTACTCTATAACAATGAAATCTAATGCGAAGGTGATGGATGTGTGGGTGTGCACAGGAAGTGTGCTGCTTCCAGGACTGCCGTGCCCACAACTCTGAACACCAAACGGCAAGCTAATCAGCTTAGAGAGTGAGAATGTGGAGATTAGCCTCCTAACGCCAGCAGTAGAACATTCCCGCTCTGCAAATAATTGCTCTCAACTTGGTTCGCATGGGTATGTGCGAGACCGATAGAGCACAAGGATTTCGATTTGATTACTTTTAAGAACCAGGTTCAAACATCACCTTGGGTGTGCTAACCATCAGCGGAGGAGTTTGAATTGATTCTGTCAGAGCAACAGCTTCCTTGACAAAGGCAGTTTTTGTCTCAACGTGAGACAAGCGGCTCTCACACACAGTATTAGCACATTTTTTCAAGGTATTAAACCTTCCAATTGGAAATGCTGTGGAAGTAATAAAGGACAAATAATGTTTTGACTTCCCCTTTAAACAGCTGATAGGACAAAAACGTCTCTCCATTGTTTGACGTCCCACTTGGAAGACGGTTTCACTGCTTTGGCAGATGCCACCGTTTTAAAACCCCAAGAACAGCTGTCTGATCGAGCTGTCGAGGCTCACCGTCAGAGCAATGTCGAATAACAATTGTAAAGTGCGAGAGAAGCACTTTTTAACTTTGACAACTTGAAAACGGACAAAAGTTCCTGTTTCATTCATGGTAGTTTGCACATACCATTTCACCTTCCGGTTTAAGGAATTGAACCCCACCATCAACAACTTTAAATGTAAGTTAAGCTCTTTATGAATCCCAAATATACTCTACACTCATGTTATCATTTACTCGTCTTTGTTATTTTTTTTAATGGAGTCGCTGATGATGCAGTGGTCAACTCGCCTGACCTGTGAGCGGACAGCGCGGGATTGGTTCTCACTCTGTCATTGCGAATGGTTGTTCAGTTTTTTTTTTTTTTTTTAATGGAGTCGCTGATGATGCAGTGGTCCACTCGCCTGACCTGTGAGCGGACAGCGCGGGATCGGTTCTCACTCTGTCAGTGCGAATGGTTGTTCGTCCCTATATGTGTCCTGCAACTGACTGGCGACAAATTCAGGGTGTAGTCTGCTTTCTTGTTGCCCAATATTAGCTGGGATAGGATCCAGCACCCCCTGCGACCCTGTTCAGGATAAGCGGTGTTGGGAATGCCAACATGTTAAATGTTTTTATTATTTCAGGGACCACAAACAGAAACTTGACTTTGGAGTCAGCCAATCCTCCATGAAGCGTCTCCAGTTGGTCCAGAATGCTGCTGCCTCTTGACTGGTACTCGTAAGAGGGAGCACATCACTCCTACTCTGGCATCCCTTCACTGGCTCCCTACACATTTTAGATTTTTTTTGAAGATCCTATTATTTGTTTTCAAATCGTTAACTGTCCTCGCCCCACCTTAGCTCTCTGAGCCCCTCCGCCCCTACACACCTGGCCGGTGCCTCAGGTCTGTGGACCAGACATTATTAGAGGTACCAAGGACCAAGCGGAGGCTCAGAGGGGATCGAGCCTTTTGCGTTGCCTCTTCCGATCTCCTGCTGAACATTCGGCAAGCCCCCAGCTGCCCATCTTTAAAACTCATTTTGATTTTTTGGCTTTTGACTCAGCATGAGACTTGGTTTTTATTTTTCCTGTTTTTGCGCTTTCTACTACTACTTATGAATTTCTTGTTTTATTGTCTGTTATTGTATGAATTATTTTTGCTCCATTGTACAGCACTTTGTATACAGCGGTGGCTGTGTTAAGAGCGCTCTTGAAATACAGCTGGGTTGAGTTGAGTTGTGGTCAAAGCATCGCTTTTACACTTTGAACATGAAACTATGCTGAGTGCATTCTAAGGTCATCCCGATAATAAATCCATGAATAAATAAGATGTTTGACCGACTCTTTGGTGCCTTTGCATTGCAGGGCTGCGTGACTGGCACCAGCTGACTGAAGGTAAGCGATCCAAAGAGCCACACTCACTCACAGGTCAAACTCCAAATTTCTATTTATATATGATGAGCGTAAAGTAGCGTTCATTAGCTCCACTTAAGTGTACGCCCCGCACCATTACCTTGACGTAAAGTGAGATCTCATTGTCCTGGTCATGTGGTGTTGCCGTTGTATTGTCCCACGCAGGTGGCAAAAGACTGTCCTCCATTTTTGGTGAAATCATCTCCTGTCGCTTCTCTGGCTGCCAGTCCCGAATAGGAACGAACGGCTGTCCGTCCCCCAACA